CCAGGCCAACCCCCCCCCCCCCCAGCCAGCAGAAAGGGAGGCAGGAATCATCTCACCATTTCAGAGTTTGGATTCATTTCTATTTGCAGGTGTGAATTTAATGCCAGTGAGAATTGCTGGACTGACAGCCCACAAGAGCAACTCATTCTGCTTAGCCACACAGCAAGCACAGTGCAAGCTTACACACCCGTTGCCCCAGCCCTGCCCGGCACAGGAGAGAGTTCAGTCCCAAACCTTGGTCTCATTGCGGCACAGGAAGGCCAGTTAGTGCCAGCTATGATGCCGACACCGGTAGAGCGGGATTTACCCTGACAGTTCAGCATCAGAACAGATGTCAACATATCCAACCCCAGGCGTTACTGGCTGTACCTCTCCCAAAGCAGAGCATTACCTTATCCACTGAAAGGGACTGGTCTGCCCCCCAGGCTGCTCCTCCCCAAACAAGACACCAAAGCAGGATTTCAGGCCTTCCAAGAACACGAGCTGTCCTCGCTCTTTTGCTGCGGTCAGACTGACTCCCTGCAGGAGGCGGAAATATCATCTCACGTAAGCAAACAGCTGCAGAAGAATGATTCCAGTGGGGCCCCAAGCGGAGCTGTGGCCTCTTTGGATACAATCTAATCTAAACATGCTAATAAAACCAATCCCCCACAGGATCTTGCACAGCCCCGGAGCCAGACAGTTCTGTTTCACACATTGCACATCCCATGTTTTGCCTGCAGATAGTCCCAAGGAATGGCCAGAAATAGCAACACCCGCACACTGAGCCTTTCCGTGGCTTTTCAAGTTCACAGAACCTTAAACGCACATTAATGAACTAGGTCCTCTCATCTCCCTGGGGAACCCGCTGGCACCATAGTTGTCTTGCAGCTGAGGAAAGGCAGAGACACAAAATGAGTCACTCAAAGCCAGAATGTGCGGAAAAACCCAGATAAAAATCTAGGCGCACCCATCCACTGAGACAGGCTCTCCTGGGCCCTGTTGCTTCACATGCAAGAACGCTTGCTCTTTGTACCTTCCTAATGCCCGCTCTGCTTTTGGCAGCAGGAGGATCGGGGCATTTTAGAACTAGTTCTGACAACCCAGCCTGATTAGACCTTGGCTCAAGCCATCTCTAAACTTCCCAAGACAGGAGTCTGGGATAGAGAGAAAGGAGGAATGACTGAGAAGGGTGTAAAAATCTCCTTTCACCCAGCACTCAGTATCTGTCCTCTCAGTCAGATGTGCACCATGGAAACTGTGCACTCAGGGAGGGCTCCAGAGACAAGCCAGGAAACCTGAGAGGGAGGCAGCCATTGTGTGCAGCAATGTAACAATCTGGCTTTTCTGTAGCCACATTGGAAGGCCTGTGCTAGGCCTGAACCAAAGCCACCTTCTGCAGCCAGACTGAAGAGTAGCAGCCATTCCTGTAAGGCCTGGAGTCACATACTCACAGTTCCATCTAAACTGTATTACACAGTGTCACACCGGGCTGTGAGGAGGGGACTTTGCCCTGACAGCCCCCCACTGTCACCAGATAAAGAAACAGATCTCAAGATGGGGAAAGAAAACTTAAGTCACCCCATTCTGTCTGGCAAGAAACTGCTTCTCCATAGAGAATGTTGTGGAATCCTCATTCTACGAGCATTGTCACTACACTTTTCTATTGTTTGACGGGGTGATCTCTGTCTGGTTTGTAACTATTCCTGTCTGCTGTATAATTAATTTTGCTAGGTGTAAATCAATTAAGATGGTGGGGTACGATTGGTTAGGTCATTTTGTTATGATTGGTTAGTAAAATTATACTAAAATAATTGGTTACAGTCTAGCTAAGCAAGACTCAGGTTTCATTATATAAACTGAGGTTCAAAAAGGAGAAGAAGACGATCATCAGAAGTAACAGAAGGAAGAAAAGGCTGGAAGAGGACCAGGAGGAGGGGGGAAGACCTGGAAAAGAAGAACTCACCTCGGAGACACAGCCTAAGACCAGAGAGACTGATATTGCCTGGCCAACAGGGGAAGTCTGCCAGCCTTTATCAGGATTGGTGAGCATGACACTGTGCTTAGCATGTGCATTCTGCTTGTTTGGGAATTGTCAATAAATAGAGGATAAGGATATTACTGTGTGAGGCTCTTTCAATGGCTAAAGATCCTGCAAAATCCACAGGAAAATGTGCCCTGAGCCCTAGGAATTGGGTAAGAGTGTGTGTCCCTACAGTGTGGAAGAGATAGAGACATTTGTGCGGGTAACAGTAACAAGATTAGGGGATGTTGGTCTTTGGGGCTGTCTCGGGGCTTAGTACAGCACCCAGCAGCGTGGTACCCGAGAGTTGATACGGTACTTTCCCATATTTGAACTAATCATTTCCCCCTGTGCGCCGCTGCAAACAGTTCACTCATGTGGGCCTTCAAGGATGGCGGAGGACTTGTCCTAAAAAAAAAAGCTTAGCCATCAGTGTAGCAATAACAGTCCCGTGGCAACATTAATTCATCTAACAGAGCTACCGACCACAAGCCAGGTGTGCCTGAAGTTACAGAGAGTGCAGTGAACTGGCCAACCCAGTAGCCTGACAATTAATAGAAAGTACAAATACATCCAAGATTGCCTTGCCGGTCCTTGGGAAGCAGGTCAATATGGTTTGTATTTGATACATAAGGAAACTCAGGGTCAGAGGGACCAAGGGAGTTGCCCAGGCTCACATCAATGGTAGAAGTGGGACTAGAACCAAGAACTCCTGCTACCCAGGCCTGTGCTTACAACCAGGCCTTGCCCCAAGCACTTGGCAGCAGCTGCAGAATAATTAAGTCTCCATTGACATGGGCTCCCAGGCACAACGCTAGGTGTTACTCAGTTGTAATATTTCTTCTTGAGTACTTTCCAAGAATCTCAAAGTGCTTGACAAACACTGATCATCTGGCATCACACCGGTGTTCAATATATCCCATTTTGCCATGAGGAAACTGAGGCAACAGGGGACAAAGTGACTTCAGGAATTTCTATATTGGGGTGCATTTGGTACCCATCTTTGATTTTCAAGTGTGCAGGCACCTGCGGCTCCCACTGACATCAACTGGTGCTACCAAAAGACCAGCACTTTTCAATGGCAGGCCTCAGGTGACTTGCCCACAGAGTCAAAGTCAACACCAAAGCCAGGACAAAGGTCTCAGGTTCCTGGGTTCCAGCCCATTGTTTAATCAACAGAATGTCCCCTTTCCCTTTATCAATATGGCTCTCTTTTGTTGAATACATTGTAGCTGCCTGACGCATTCACCTCTGGTTCACTCTGTTTTCTGGGAGGAAATCCTGCACTTATTACAGCCTGCGATCGGGTGGACCACGCCCTGAGGCCCCCTGCTGGAGGCTTTGTGGCCCTGCCCCACCCGCATCCAGAGAAGTCCTCTTAAGAGGCAAGAGTGGGTGCAGAGGAAGCGGCCAATCAGAGGCCACAAAGGCCATATAAAAGAGCTTCAGGGTCAGAGCCAGTTCAGTTCCTCTGGAGACCTCAAGCTGGGCAGAGAGAGAGAGAGAGAGAGAGAGCGAAAGAGAGAGAGCTTGAGCGCACGGCAGCACCACGGAGAGCTCCAAGCAGAGAGCTTATTGGAGACTAAGGGACTGTTGGGATGTGGAGATAAAGCCCTGCTCCCGTCTCCAGGAGCAGAAGCCACTCTCAGTCAGAGTGGGAAACAGCCTGGAGGAACAGACTCAAGGGGACACTACCGAGGGCAACAAGATGGGGCCCTGTTGGAAGGGGTTTGAGTCACACGCGTCTAAACTGGCAAGATTTTGCGCAAAAGCTGTCTACACTGGCCGCTTGAATTTGCACAAGAGCACTGACTTTATAATGTACAAAATCAGTGCTTCTTGCGCAAATACTTTCACACTCCCGCCCGGGAAAAAGCCCTCTTGTGCAAGAATACTTGCGCAAGAGGGCCAGTGTAGACAGGGAAGAACTGTTTTGTGCAAAAAAGCCCCAATGGCTAAAATGGCAAATGGGGCTTTCTTGCGCAAAATCGCATCTAGACTGGCCATGGATGCTTTTGTTCAAAAGCATCTGTGCCAATCTAGAAGCGCTTTTGCGGAAATACTTTTAACAGAAAAGTTTTTCTGTTAAAAGTATTTCCACAAAATCATGCCAGTCTAGACGCAGCCGATATGACTCACCCAGAGGGCTGAGTTGCCGAAGAGGCTTTCAACGAGTGAACAGAGAGAGAGCAGCGCCATGCACTCAGCCAGACAGGGGCACCTTACACAGCCATAATCAACCAAAGCTATCTCAGTGGCATATGGCAGGCAATCCTCTTGTTTCACAAGCATCTTTTCTAGTCGTAACGTTGTTATGCACTGATCCCACTTTAATTTTGAAATGAAGGTTGCGCTGCTAGGGAGTGAGAGGACAAGTAGTGCAAATGGGGCTTTTCGGCGTCTTGGCTCACTAGAAACTGGGCTGCTCCTTCACACAATAGGCAGCGAGAGGGGAGCAGATAAGACAGAAAAACTATCAAAAAGTTCAATCTGGTTTTGCTCGGTACTCAGAACTGGTGAGTCAGGCTAGGAATGGTTCACCCTTGAATGCTAGGAGATACATACACCTGTAGGCCTGGCATACGTAGACCTTAACAATGGTTGGGGTAATGGAGTGATCACACGGATGGCTTCTTTTCTTAGAAGAGTTGCTAAGTATGTTGGTATATCCGCCTGAGCCAATTGCTGAAATCAGAAGCAGGCGTCCCAAGAGAAATTGGATCCAGAAACAAACATTCAATTGGTGAAGTTTCTAGCGTGCCTGGTAGAGAGGAGGGTTCAAATAGCCAGGGCTCGACAAATTAGTCAATCTATTCGCCCGGGGTGAGTAGATTTGAAGCCGGCATGGCGCCACAGTGTGATCAGCGCATGTGCAGCATGCCAAAATGCATAGCTGGCGAGCAGGGCTCACCGCCGCTTGTTAAGCCTTGCAAATAGCTATGGTCCTACATCCTTAGTTAACTGGTCACTAAGCATTATACAACGCACTTTTCTAAGAGATTTCCTTGGAACATCACCAAGCTCTTTGCAAACATTATCTGAACCTCACCACACCCCTAGGAAGCGATCCTCGTTTAACAGGTGGGGAAGCAAACACAGAGAGAGGCTGCGTCGCCTTGGGCAAGTAATTGCAAAGTCAGTGGCCAAGCCAGGGATAGCCCCATGTCTCTTGATTCCTAGCACCCTACTTCATCTGCCCCCTCCCTCTTAGGCAACCAATCCACATTTAGGCAGCAATATGGAAGATTTCAGCTTTTTCTGCTTTCCTACCTGGAAAAGCAAGCATGAGTGTTAGGTCTGTCAGATGATCACTGCCAGTGACTAGCTCCAGCTGTTTTGAAAGCCTGGCATTCTCCCATGAGACCCCGTCAGCGAGGCCGGCCGGGGAGTGAAAAGACAAGGTTGCTCTGCTGATAAGGAGAAGGTCGTTTCCAGGAAGGCCAACCTCGCATTCGGGTCATTGTGGTCCTTCTCCTTCAGTGCTTATCAGCTGCCACATGTGCATTGCCAGTGACAC